AATCCACTCACCTCAGCCTCCCAAAGCAAGGGATTACAGGCTGAGCCACCAAGCCCGGCTTGGTCAGGTAATTATTAATATCACACTTTTAATTACCATATCTCTTATAGTGTGCTTTGATGGTAACTGGGACAAGAGCCCCCGATATGTTTCTTTTTCAGACTCTTTCTGCTACTTTTTGTCTTTCCCAGATCAATGTTAGATTTGACAAGTTATGTGGAAAGTTTTATTAGGATTAGAATTGCATTGAATTTAACTCTGTCTTTCCATTTATCCAGACTTTTTCAGTAGCTATATATCATATAGCCTTGTTAGTTTATTTCTAGATATTTTGTAGTTTCTGATACCAGTACTAGATTGCTTATTGATTGTTGCTTACTTAGGAAGAAGAGAAAAGGCTATGAAGATGACGATTATGTCTCAAAGAAATCCAAACATGAGGAGGTATGTTTACTCTGTAGGTGAACTCGCAAGTCATATTTGTTACACATTCTGGCATGACCATAGTGTGAAGGTTTACTGTTCCAGATTACAAGCATTGTATAGAACTGTGGTTTGGTTTTTTTTTTTTGAGTTGGAGTCTCACTCTGTCGCCCAGACTGGAGTGCAGTGGCCGCGCCCGGACACCGCAGCCTCGACCTGCTGGGCTCTGGCGATCCTTCCGCCTCAGCCTTCCAAGTAGCTGGAACTAAAGGCGTGCACTACCACACCCGGCTAATTTTTTTTGATTTATTGTAGAGATGAGGTCTCACCAAGTTGCCCAGGTGGGTCTCGAACCCGTGGGCTCAGGCAGTCCACTCACCTCAGCCTCCCAAGGCGCGGGATTACAGGCTGAGCCACTGAGCCGCTAGAACTGTGGGTTTTTAAAGTCTTTGGGTTTTTTGCATTCTTCTTTATGTACAGTAGTACTTGGTCCATTATTAAAAGAGATTTTTCTCACTTCTGTTTTAGCCTGTTCTCAAGCAGTATAATAATGATTTGATGAAGAATCCTTCCTGTGCTCATGGAAGGCAGCAAAAATACCCAAACACGCAAACGTTTGCTCTGCTTTTATTTATTCTCCAAGGATTCTTCCCTTGCTCACTTTTTAAAAACTGTACCCAGCAAGTCAGAGATAAAAGAATAATCAGAGGCAGAAGGTCACAACTGTACCCTTTATTCCTTATTGGAGGAGTCTGGTGAGACTATACTGCTATTAGTAAGTGAACTGCTACAAAAGTCCATAGTTTATCTTCTGCAGTCAGCATAGGTTGAAGGAGAAAATTTTCCTAGAGAGGCAAGGAGGTAAACAGTACTGTTCATGATTCATTATGTTGTCCTTACCACAATTTTTTTCCTTCTTAGGAAGAATGGACTGATGATGACCTAGTGGATTCTCTCTAACCATCTGAAGCTGATTCTCAGTGCTAACTAATCAAGAGAAGTAGGAAGCATATTGGGCATTTAACTTTATTTAAAAAGTGTAATGTGGAAACATCAAAATATATTAAACTTTTGTATTTGTTATTTAAATTTTTCTTTTATAGTAGCTTTATGTAAAATAAAACATCTTCAAAAGAGTCAGACTAGCACCTGGTTTGGATATTCTTACCCCACCCATTATTAATATCAAATCAGTCTTTCTATGGTAGCCAAATTAAATCTGTAACTTATTTGCCTTATATTGTTTTAAACAAAATATGATAAAAACAAACCTATGGTGTTTTTGTTTTTTTTTATTTTTGGAAACACCACAAAAACCAAAACTTCAGTAGTCAGCTTTAAAAGTGCTAAGGGATGTGTTTTGCCTTATAGAAACCTTTATAAATTGGCTTTTCAGATGCCATCCTGATATATTTAGCTATGTGTGCAGTACCACTGAACTGTAGAAGTTACTTCAATTTGCATTCCTCAATTAGTTACCCTAAATCATTTCCAAATGGATTTTTTTTTAAATCAAAGATGGAGTTTTTAGTAGCTTTTTAGATAAAAATCTTATGTTGCTGTAGAAAAATAGGTAGCAGCAAACTGTATGTTCAGGTGTGACTTGGTTTTGTTTTGTTTCTGATGTGGATCTTGTTGTTACCAGGCTGGTCTGGAACTCCTGGGCTCAAGCAATGCTTTTGCCTTAGCCTCCTGAGTAAGTGGGACTACAGGTTCTCACCACCATGCCCAGCCATATATTTAGCTTTATAATTAACCTATTAGATAACGTGTAAGGGAATCCACATAACAGATTGTTAGTTACTAGGAATTTCACAAGTTAAATACATTCAAGACATTTGATTTATACTGAAATGAGTTGATGTGAAACTATAAAAGGATAGACTGTAATACCAAACATTACTTAGTAATGAGTCATGGCTGCCTCTGCTTCACAATGTGACCTTGGTAAGTTATGTGACCATACCTCTGCATGGTATGCCAGTTTCCCAAATTGAAAATGGGGAAAATAATAATGCTTACTCTTCACAGGACTAATTAGAATAGTGCCTGCAAACACTCAGTATTCAATAAATTAGCTATTATAGCTGGAGCCTAGTTGTGAATCTCTGTGTATCAAGCCAAGTTATTTTTGGGAAAACTGCCTCGAAGGAATTCTGAGAATTCCTGCCCTGAATCTAATTAAATTGTATGAATATACACACTTCCTCCATCTCAGTGTTCCAGCAGCACTTTTCTTAATGGTAGGTACCATTTTAATTGCATCTAGGTATTTGAAGGTAATATTTACTATATGCATAGTTATCCAACAGTTCTTTACATTTTAGGCTTGAGGTTTTTGTTTCCTTCTAATTCTGGAATAAGAGGAGTCAAATTCGTTACACGAGATTTTACATAAAGCAAGGTGGAAGAATCCAAAGTCTATAATCCTCCAGTGTAGTCCTGGTTAAACAGCACTGCTGCTAGGCACTCTACAGAATCGTAAAATGCTCACAATTTGTTTCCTTTTTCTCTTTCAGATCACCAGAGTCTGGCATCAGAGCAAGGCCCACACATACCTCTGAAAATTTTCCCACTCAGCTTCATTTAAAAATTTAATGTTTGAGAAATTTTATTTCGACACTGAGAAGCTAGTTACTGCAGGACTTGTAAAGGTAAGTAATACATTTTCATCCCAACTTAAGAGAGAGACATATTATTAAAACATAAAAAGCAGGGTAAGTCTTTCAGGTTGTTTTGGGTTTTTTTTAAGAAAAGTTAAAAGGAAAAGCATTTCAGACTGAGGAATGGTGTATAGGTTAGTGGCTGAAGACTGAGGTAGGATTAGTGTGAGAGAACCAAAATGCCCAGCACTAGAGAGTTTGACCTTTTCCCTGTTAAAACATCTCAGGATATCTCACTAGTCCATATCCCTCCTTTCCATCCTCTGTAAACCAAGGAGACCACCTAGGAGACTACGCTGGTAGTCCAAAAGGCAAGAGGAATAGAGAAGAGGACAGTGATGTGACGAAGGGAGAGAATGGAATGAATTGAGTTGAGCAAAGAAAAAGTGCACAGGATGCGTTGTTTTTTGATTCACTTTTGAACTCTGAAGCTCCATAAGCAGACATCTTTTAAACCCCTGATTGATTAGAGGAATTAGCATAGTATTACTCCTGGAATCTGGGCCTTTAAAAAAATGTATCTTTTAGTGAGAATGGGTTTTCCTAACACTTCCCTTGGTTTCTGTCTCACCCACTTTGATTATCAATTATGTTCTGCCAATGTCTTGTCTCCCCTAAACAGGGAGGGAAGGAATTGCTACCTGATGGTTATATATTGAATGAATAAATCGAATACTTTTCAAATTACTGAAGATTCATCTACTTGGGCTTTGCTCTGATACTAAAGTTTGAACTTTAGTTCAAACTAAAAGGCAGAAAAGGAATAATAAGGAAATTAAATGCCTAGCTATGTTTAGACAGAAGTAATCAATTATGCAAGATATCCCTTGATTTTATTTTAACTTAACCTTTGTGAATACTTCACAAAAATACACATACAGAAGCAAATAAAACTATACAGTCAAACTAAATATCCAGCAGATACAACAAGTAGTCAGAAATTCAAAGATGGATAAGTTAAGTGGTTGTTGAGGTTGTCTGTATAATCAAAGGGGGTAACACAAAAAAGTCGACTGGAATTAATGAACAAATACTTTCAACAAAAGCATTCTAGTTTTTTAACAAAAGAAATTGGTAATCTATAAAATGTTGACTGAGTAACATGCACTGATCAGTACAATGACCAATAATATTTATTGAATTCAAACTATTTACTGTTGTAAACATTTAACAAAAGCATTATGAGATCTAAATACAGTCTTTGACAATTTCAACAAAATAAGTGGTATGTTTAAAAAATAAAGCTGATGAGCAATAGATCCATTCTATATATTTCTTTCAACAGTTCCAGCAAGAGAAATAGCACAGTATTTTTAAAAAGTATACAGCAAAGATTGATCCTATTATAATGGCAAACTCTGGAAACTGTAAATACAAATAAAGTCATTGAACAGTCAAATGGTCATATTCCTAATCAGGAAGAAGTTACAGTAAGAACAGTCTGCAATCCAGTTATACTCAATTGTCAATAGAGAATGCTTTTCTTGTCAGTTGATTTCATAGTTCTTTTTCCAAGAGACAGCAAAACTTTGGCAACTGGGTGTATTGAAAATACATTAGTTCAAGATACAGTCATAGCATTTTGTTTTGTAAAAGGTGATCTGTACACCAAGGCTCAGAGGTTGGTAAAGATTGATTCCATATGGAAAAAGTGCAAATATCCTGCACAGATAGCTTACGAAGTTGCTGGCACAGTTAATTTACCAGCAGAATCTTGGGTTTGTTTTGCATAGCTCACACATCGCTGGAATGTGGTAAGGTGTGCTATTTTTTGGCAAGAGCAAAGGAGACATACTGATGTGATCACCATGTTGGGCATGCTGAATCCATGCAGAACACGGAGGCGAAGGCTGCTACCTGACATCATTGGTTTTTGTATACTGGTTTTGTTTTTGTTGAAGCAGTTCTGTTATGGCCAGAAGCTTTTTCAGTACGTGCTAGATAGAACAACAACAAAAAAAAAGGGATGAAAATATTAAGTAAATGGAAGCTCAGTCAGAAATTTCAGGGTAGGAATCTGGATTTGAACAAATGCATGCCAAAGCAAAGGAGTTCATAAAATAAATATCCATTCTACTCAAAGCATAACATTTTGAGTTTCAATCCTTAGTTTTAGTATTTTTGGTCATAACCAAGACAGAGAATTTTTGTACACTAAAGTGAATAGAAATTGATTTTTGCTTGGCATGCTCCTATCTTTTTACATCAGAACAATCTCTAAGATAAATCATCTTGTCAAAAGACAATCACATTAAGGTAATCAGCTTGCAATTTAGCAAACCTTTTGAAAAACATGATCTTTAATTGTAAAGAATCATGAAAGAAATATGACTACATTGAACCTAAAATCAAATAGCTCCTTTACCTCTTCTTTATTTTTAATATAATATCTAAGGCAAGTCATATAAGTTTCTAAAGTGATTGGAGCGCTAATCAGTGAGACCAGTATCTAAACTTGGGTTGGGGAATTTGAGAATTCTAGAATCTCAGGTTGGCAGATTAGTGTTTCTCAAATCATGAGCCATGGTCCACTTGTATCTGTATCCCTGTAAGAGCTTATTAGAAACTCAGTTTCCAAGGGCACACTTCAGAAATTCTGGACATGGAACCTGAATTATATATTCTTAATCAAATTTATTTTAATCAATCATAAGTCTCATGTGTTTCATAATTTGAGAATCACTTTAGCCATGCACTGTGTGTGTGACGGTATCATTAGCTCACTTGCTATTTTCACATACCACTAAAGTATATGAATACCACTGTTTTCCAGTAGAGTTAACATTTTAGATTCAAAAGCAAGACTTGATACACTTTTTAAGAACATCATCTTAGTTTGCTATTATTTCTGTCTGCTGTTTTTTCTTAGATTATTCATATTTTTAGAAATGTAATTTAACCGACAAGATACCAAATGTTAACCAGAATTCAGCTATTTATTATCCTTAGAGTCTTATCCTTGAAATGTCACTGTTAATGAAGGCTGGCAGAAACCTACCTGCTGTGCACCGCGCTCATTACTGAGTGTTCGAAGTTCATCTGAATGAGCCACACAGATCTCATGCAATGCTGCTAAATCACGAGACAGGTCAGTTCTAGAATGCTCTGTAGTGTCCGGAAGTTCAGGCACATTCTTTAAAGGAATCATAAAACTGCATTTAGAAATACAATTTTTATACTGTAACTTCTTATATGCTAGTTTTTATAACTGAGATTGCATACTAATGACCCACCGGCAGTCCTGACTTGTTTGCCAAGGGCGTATCATTGTTTGTTGACTTTTATTTTTAACTGAAGGAATGCAGTAAGGCAGCACATGGGCACCTCAGTCTTCTACCCTAGCACTGTAATGCCACATTCCTAGCTCAATTCACATAACATGTTACCTTTCTGGTTTCTCTCTACATAAACTGAATTGCTAACGTATTTAGTTTAAAATTGATTACATATTCTGAAAGTCTGTACAGTTTAACTTGATT